AATTCAGTTCCTGATCTGAGTGGCTGGATCATAATTCTTCCCATTTCTCTGGGAACTGCTGTTCTCTAAGTTGCCCTAGCACTCAGCAGAGAAAAGAATTGCTTCCTGTCTGACTCCTGGGAAACAGTTAAGGTTCTGGTTAGGTGATCAARGTCTTGGAGCATAACTGAAGGACAAAAGACAGGAGACCTGGGGAGAGCTATTGAGGCTGAATTCACTTTAAGGCAAGTCCACAGACTGAAAGTATTTGTACTGTGGATGTTTCCCAGAAGAACCCAGCAGAGGAGGCTCTTCCTAACTCAGAGACCTGGTGACCACTGGGCTGGCTAGTTCTCAGGAAACTAAACAGCTAGAGAAGCAGGAAAGGAGATTATTCATGGGAAGAAGAGTTTGGAATTTTCTTCATTATGGCCACCCTGGCTCTACCACTATCTATTGAGCCAGCAATGGTGACAGCCATGAGCCCCTCTTACAGTATCAGACCTCAGCCCAACCAGCCAATTCCCTGGAAGGAACAGAAAATTTTCCTCATTGGAGTAGGCATTATTCAAAAACTGGGTTTAACTGGGTACAGTGGCCCACACCTGCAATCCCAGCAGCTTGGGTGGCTGAGGCAGGAGGATCATGAGTTCAAAGCCAGCCTCAGCAATTCAGCAAGACCACAAGCAACTTAGTGAGACCCTGTCTCAAAATAAAAAATAAAAAGGCCTGGGATGATGGGCTGGGGTTGTGGCTCGGTGGCAGAGCACTTGCCTGGCACTTGTGAGGCACTGGGTTTGGTCCTCAGCACCATATAAAAATAAATAAATAAGAAAAAAGTTATTATGTCCATCTATAGCTAAAAATATTTTTTTAAATGGAGGGGGGCCGAGTTATGGCTTAGTAGTTAAGTGCCCCTGAGTTCAATCCCTGGTACCAAAAAAAAAAAAAAAAAAAGAAAAGAAATTGGGTTTGCATTTTCTGTGTTATGTTCCTGCCAACACCAACATGTACAGGTTTATGGAATGCCTTCTAATGGCCATGGCATCTTGGGCCATACTATGTTTAGCCAAAAAACTCTTCCCAGCAAAAGAAGCAAAGCACTAGATGTAGTGTGAGTCCTGGGAAAAAAGTATGACATTAGTGAAGAAGCTGGGGAAGTATAAATAAAGTCTAGAGCTTAGTTAATAGCATTGGATCAGTGTTAATTTCTTAGTTTTAATGAAAGTGCCATGGTTATGTAAGAGGCTAACATCAGGGAAAACAGATGAAGGACATAGGGGAACTCTCCATGGTATCTCTGCAGCTCTTCTGTAAATCTAAAATTATTTCAAAATAAAATCACTGAAGAAAAAAAAGGAAGAAAGAAAGTGGGTAATATTGAAAGCATTCACTAATCTTATCATGAGTCCAGCATCTGGAAGCAGGTGGCCTAGAGAGTGATAGGATGGCCTGGTAAAGACCCAGTGTGGCCGGGCATGGTGGTGCATGCCTATAATCCCAGCAGCTTGGGAGGCTGAGGCAGGAGGATTGGGAGTTCAAAGCCAGCCTCAGCAAAAACCAGAGCGCTAAGCAACTCAGTGAGACCCTGTCTCTAAATAAAATACAAAATAGGGCTGGGGATGGGGCTCAGTGGTCCAGTGCCCCTGAGTTCAATCCTTGGTACCTGTTGCCCCCCACAAAAAAGACCCAATGTGGTGCCACCAGCCCAGCTGGGAGACCCTGCTGTGCACAGGTGAGGCGCTGTCTGAAAATCTGCTGGGTGTGTTCTGAATTGAGCCAGTGACAACACACAGTGCTTTCTTTCTTTTCTTTTTTTTTTTTTTTTCCCCTAGTGCTGAGGACCAAACATAGGGCTTTGCTCACACTAGGCAAGCACTCTACCACTGAGCTGCACTTCTGGCCCTAAACGGTGCTTTCCTTTCACCCCTAAAATATTTAAGGATCTCTGGGATCAAGGTAGGGATGGATGTCTTGGATGACAACAATGGCCCCCTCTTGCTGGGCTGGATGGCACACGCCTTTAGTCCCAGCAAGTTCAAAGTCAGCAACTCAGCAAGGCCTTAGGTAACTAAGCAAGACGCTGTTTCAAAATAAAAAGGGCTGGGATGTTGCTCAGTGGTTAAGTGCCCCCTGGATCCCGGAACACCCCCCCCCCCGCCCCTTCTAAAAAAAAAAAATGGCCCACTCTTCTTAGAATGGTCAGTTCCATCCTCACCCTGCCGTGTGAGGTGTGGGCATGGCAGGAAGGAATGCTGCTGTCAGACACAGCATTGTAATTCCTTCAAATGGAGGCTGAGATCTCTACTTGGCATTTTGAGGCTCTTGATGGCAAATAAACAAACAAATTTAAAAAAAAAAAAAAAGGAAAGGAGTCAGAGTGTTGGGCTGATATCCTGTCTTGAGATTCAGGCTGTTACCATACCTCAGGGTGACCAGGAAAGGGATGCAGGAGCCAGAGATCATCTGGGCCACTCTGAGTGAAAGCAAGCTGAATAAACCACTTCTCTGTGCCGAGTCCCAGGAGGGCTCCAACCTCTCAGGAAGAAAGTTACAGTCACCTCTGGGACCAAGCACCCATTCGAGGAGGTTCTGCCTGAAGGMAGGAGAAGGGCCAGGCCAGGTAGGCAGAAAGACGCATAGCCACGTGGCCTAGGATGACATGAGGCCGGCCCCATCTCTTTCTCCTTTCTTTTTTTTTTTTTTCAACCAAGAGAATTTATTGGGGGGATGCCAAAGGGGAAGAAAAGGAGAGGAAGAGAGCAGCCTCTTTCTCCTTTCTTAATGGAACCAATGTGGAGTATTTCCCTTTCCCATTTTCTGAGATAAGAATTATTGCAATAAATGTTGTTCTCAGTCCTCTTCCCTTCCTTCTCTTCAACTGGGTATATTGAGGCTGACTGAACTCACTCTGGGTTGCACAGTGGCGAGATGGAGCCAGGATGCTATCGTGAAGTGGAGATACAGGGTTCTGACCATGACCTCACCTGAACTTACCCTTACTCTGCCTTCAGGCTGTGGGGAAGGGAGGCTGAGACTGCAGSTGTACCTACGATCATGGTGTACATTTGGTTTGTTTTCAGACATTTGCTTTCAATCCTATCTAGTAAATTCTCCAAGCCAGGGGCTTGGATACCATCCTTGAAAACTCACCACTCGACAACTCTTCAACCTACCACCCAACAACCTGCCACATGGCCACTGTCCTAATTCAGGCTTTCTCACCTCTCYCCAATGGAATGGTCACCTCCTTAATTGCCTCTCTGCCCCTCCCTCTTTCCCCTTTCTATCGTGTCAAGAGCAAATCTCCTTCTGAGGCCACTAAGTCACTCCCAGCAGATAAGGCTGTTGAGATGAGCAAGTGAGACCCTCCCTTGGTCACCTCCAGCCCCACCTCTCTAGCAGCRTATCCTGAGAATCTGGGCCTCTCTCCTGATATTCCAACTCCAACCTGCTTGTTGTTTCCATTCAAACCACAATTACACTCTTTCTCCTAACGATGCCTGTGCTTATACTGCCCCTTCAGCCAAAGTGCCATCTGGCCACTCATTTACAACCCTCCACCCCCATCACTTCCTTCTGGAGGCCTCTCCTGCCCTCCCTGCCAGAATCTAATGCACTCATTCAGCTGGATTAGGTAGCTCTCCTGCAGGCTCTGTCCTATTCCATGCACAGGACATGCACACGGTTCCCTGGGTGTCTGCTTGTCTGTAGTCCCTTCAGATAGTCAGTTTCACCCACCATGTGTCCCCAGCCCTTGGCATGATCCAGTCTCTTCTGATAGATGAAGCCTGTCCCTTGGTTGCTTAAATACTTTGCTTCTTCTTGTCCTTCAAATGAAGAAGAAAGTTCTTGGTCAGATGTGATGCTGCACATCTGTGATTCCAGCTGCTCACAGGTGGCTGAGGCAGGAGGATCACAGGTTCAAAGCCAGCCTCAGCAACTTAGCAAGGCTATAAGCAACCTAGTGAGACCCTGTCTCAAAATAAAAGATAAAAAGGTCTGGGGATGTGGCTCAGGAGTTTAAACACCCTTGAGTTCAATTCCTGGCACACACACACACACACACACACACACACACACACACACAAAGTTCTTAACTGAGTTCTCAGGAAGGTCCTTCAAGACTTGACCCTGATCTCCCTCTCCAGCCTCGTTCTATAGTCCCTCCAGGGTCATCCATGCTGACCTTGTTCATTGCCCTGAGTGTCCATCTACTGTTGTTCCTGCACTGCCCTTGACTTTTCCCATTGTAGCATTTATTGATTTAATTGTAAATTGTTTCATGTCTTCTCCACCAAATTCCATGAAGATAGAACCATATTCGTCCTGCTTATACTTTTAACCCTAGTGCTCAGCACATAAGACCCTCAGCAATTTTAAATAAATCACGAAATCACAACTTTACAAACTCTTTGTSGGCTGAGCACAGTGGTACACGCCTGTAATCTGGGCAACTTGGGAGTCTGAAGCAGGAGGATCTCAAGTTCCAGGCCAGCYTCAACAATTACGGAGACTCAGCAACTTAGCAAGACCCTGTCTCAAAATGAAAAATAAAAMGGGCTGGGGATGTGGCTCAGTGATAAAGCATCCCTGGGTTCAATCCCTAGTGCCAAAAAGAAAAAGAAAAAAAAAACAAACTTTGTGTCATCAGGCCATTGGGGGGGGGGGGTGGTCTAAATGACTAGAAAGAGGATCACAGGACAGGCAGGACATGAGATGTGGGAAAGGACCACCCAACCCCAGCTCCCAACCCAAACCATGTGGAAAAGCTTTTTCCCTAAAAGACGGGGAAGGGAAAGCATGGAGGGGTTTGGGGAGTAGCTAATGCTTCCCAGGACTGTCTTCTGGGGCCTCAGGGTACTTCCTCAGGCAAAGCTCAGGGTGTTTTGAAAGTGGGGTCTTCAGTGACCCAGCAGGAGGACAGGGAGGAAGGTGGGGCCAGGGAATAGATTCACAACGCGTTCATTCAAGTATCTTTACTGATTCCGTGACAAGAGAAGGTGAACAATCACTAGTTTTCTGGGTTCCCAGAACACTTGGGTCCTGGCTGAGGAGGGGCAGACACGCAGGGGGAGGTGCCCAGAGCCATCAGCTTATCGCGCAGGAGCCTTTCTCCCTGAAGGGATTCTTGTCCTCAGGGACGCCTTTGAGAAGAGGGTCGTTCCCTGCCTGGGCCTCCACATAATCCTTGATATCCTTTCCTGACTTGGAAATCTGTGAGGACACAAAATATGATCATACCCCGGGTTTATTTCTCAGGATCCATGACTTGGTCAGTYCCAGGGATACAGGCTTCTGGGCCAGGTAGGGATGGAGGCCCAAAAGGAGAAAGGTGAAAGGGCCAGGTAGGTAGGAGGCCTTGACCTGGCCCTCAAACCCTGACCCGAYCTTCTGGGATGCTTGGCCAGGCCCAGCTTGGAGACAGACCTGGACACACACAGGGCTCCATGGTCATCTCTCCTGTGCCCAGGGGACTGTGGCACCTTTCCCACGGATCAAATCCAGCCTCCTTTCACATCCTGCCCCAGCCCCAGAGGCACTTCCTGGTTCCTCTGCTACCCAGGAAAGACCCCACTATCCCCTTATCGTCACTTCCTCCTTCATGTCACAGATCCATCCAGAACAGGAAGTAACAGAGAAAAGGAGAGGAGGGAGGGAAGAGGGGCTCACCGGAACTCTTGTGTTCTTCACTTCTTTCTTTAGCTGTTCCACTTCCATCTTCAGTAGCTCCTTTTCACTGAGATCTTGCGCCATTTTGCCCTAAAGAGACCTGGCCCTGGAAAGGGTTCAGCAATCAGGATTATGGATCCCATCAGCTCTTCCAACTCCCTCCGTACCTCAACTTTTATCCTCTCCCCTGCAGCATCCCTCAGGTCAGGTCATTGTTAGATATGTCTTCACTCCATCCCTCCACCCACTGTCCCCTCCTGAGTGTAGGGTCAGGAGGAGAAGAAGCCCTCAGTCTGATAGGGGAGGCACAGTCTTTGCTTTTGCATAAGGACCTGTCTAAGAAGGAAACAGAGAAGGAAGAAAAAAATGAGTTTCTTTCAGCAAGGAAGATTTGAGAAGCATATCTACTGTTCCACAAAATGATCCAGGTAAACATTTTTGTTGTCTCCAGTCCTGGCAGGGGACAGTACAGCCTAGTGTTAGGAGCAGGGGCCCAGCTGCTTCCTCACTGCATGCCTAAGGCAAGACATTCGATCTCCCTGAATCTTAGTTTCCCCAACTGTGAAATAGGTATTATAACAATAGTACCTACCTCACAGGATTGTTGTGAGAAGTAGAAAAATAATGCATATGGCAGGGCACAGTGGCACACGCCTTGAATCCCAGTGACTTGGGAAACTGAGGCAGGAGGATCACAAGTTTGTGTCTAGCCCTGGCAATTTAGGGTGACCCTGTCTCACAAAAATAAAAAAAATAAAATAAAAAGGGCTGGGATCAGGGTATACCATCCCTGGAGATTCAGTCTCAAGGAAGAAAAAAAAAAAAGGGAGGAGGAAGAGGAGGAGAAGGAGAAGGAACTAATGCATATGAAATATTTAATACACTGGCTGGCACACAATGAACATAACACATTTCTCCTTATTATTATCACTGATAACAATGTCATTATTATCATCACTGCAGGGTAATCTAAAAGACCTGCCTGGTGCCTAACCTCCATCATACTAAGTCTAGATCCCCTCCCAGTAAGACCTCAACCCCCTCACCTGTCGAGAAGAGCACTCCAAGTCACTTCTCCAAGACCCAGGCAAGATGGTGTTTGAGCCTCCTAGCTCTTCATCAGCTGAAAGTCTTTGGATAAAGCAGATGGTCTGGAAACCCAAATCTCTGATGCCTAAGCTGATCATAGGCTCAGGTTCTAAGCCCATCCACCGCCTGAGCCTCCAAGACTGCTACACCAGCGCAGAGAGGCTGACATTCTGCCCATAGAGTAGGGAACAGAAGCCACCTTCAGTGTGTGCCTCTGGGCTTTGTCCTTGGCACTCTGCATCAGCCCCACCCCTCTAGTGACCCTCAGCCTTCTCCTTCCCCAGCTCCCTGCCCCCAGCCCTAGCTGCCCCTGCCTGACGTCCCCCACCTCTGAGCTGCTTCCAGGCTCTTCTTGCCCAGGGGCCAAGACCCAGACCAGCTCCTGACTCCCCTCATCTGGAAGCCATTGTGTCCTCCTTTGACTCCCAACAATTTCACCTTGCAGGGGCTCCTGKCTCACTCTTCATTCATTCATTCCATGAAAAAATTCTCGTGTACAATACAGTGCCACTTAGGCCTAGGGGCGATGGCCACCCTAGTGCCCATGTCCTTGCTTCCTGGCCTGAGCCCTAGGTGTGGGTCTCCCTTATCTACTGTAGTCCTTGATAAGGGGCCCACATCCTGGTCTTTCTCCTGGTATCCTCCCAGCACATGCCGCTGGTTGACACCTGTCAAATGCAAGAGACTCTCTCAAGGAGAAGGTGTTAAGGAACCAATGCATTCTCCTCTTGTTCTCTGCCTTGGGGCTGACAGACTAGGGGTGAGAGGGGCAGGTCCATGCCCACTCCAAGACCCACATAAAGTTGTGAACCCTAAGAATTTTTTTTGGCGGGGTACTAGGAATTGAACCAAGGGACWCTGCATCAGCCCCACCCCTCTAGTGACCTTTACCACTGAACTACATCCCCGGCAGGATCTCATTATGTTGCTTAGGGCCTTGCTAAGTTGCTGAGGCTGGCTTTAAACTTGCAATTCTCCTGCCTTAGCCCCCTGAATCACTGGAATTACAGGCGTGTGCCACCACACCCCACCAAACACTGAGAATTAGACAGAATCCCAGAATTCACCAACTTCTCCCCTCTTGTTTACTTTTTTGTGGTGTTGGGGATCAAACCCAGGGCTTCACATGTGCTAGGCAAACACACTACCACTGAGCTACATCCCCAGCCCTCAGCTCCCCTGTGAAGACATGACCTGGATGGAGCCCGTGGCTCTAGAGGGAGGCTCCATGCTCTGTCCATCACTACTGCCCCCAACCCACAAGTTAACCTGGAACTTTAACTTCGTGTTGTCTCAAATCGAAATCCTTCCTGTTGTCTGATTTCTGAGTCCCTCACACCAGGTGTCACACTCAGTCAGTTTCATCTTGTTCAACCTCCATCAGACACAGAGTCTCTATAGCAAAACTTTATCTCACCTGACCCTTCGCAGGCTTGGTAACACTTCTCCAGGAACTTCTGGCTGTGTCTTCCTAGTGTCTAACCCTGATTTCTCTTGCTGCTGCATGGGTTGTTATTCATTATCACTGTCCACAGTCCCCACCCCCCCAGTATGACTGATCTCCATATCGTATCCACCCTCCACTCCCCTGTCCTTTGGTGACTCATCCCAGGGCTTCCCAAGGAAGCCCCCACCCTCTGCCCTTTCCTCCCCTCTTCCATGAGTGGAAAATCCACACCCCCATAGCAGACCGGCCCCCTTCCTCCTCAGTCTCCCACCCCATCCCCCCACCGACCAGTTTCCTCTCCAGGACCAGGGAGCAATCACAGCCTCCTGGACCTTGGCTTCCTCTTCTGGGTGGGATTGGGGGCTGGGCCCCCAAACAGGCCCCCCTGGCTTCCCCCTTCCTCTGGGCTGGGGACAGAGAGGCACAGGCTCAGGGAGCAGGGACTGACTTCCTCTTGTCCCGGAATGAGCTTGCCTGCCCTTTGCGAGCAGGTTTGGGTCTCTCACGCAGAGGAAACCAAAAGCAGTAAGAGGGAGGGCAGAGAGAGCGACCAATCAAGGGCAGGGTGAGGCTCAAAACCAGCGGGCTCCCTGGGGAGCCCCACCGAGGCTGGGGGCGATGGCGGAGCTGCAGCAGCTACAAGAGTTTGAGATCCCCACGGGCCGGGAGGCTCTGAGAGGCAACCACAGCGCCTTGCTGCGGGTGGCTGACTACTGCGAGGACAACTATGTGCAGGTAGGTGGAGTGGGCGCAGGCCAGGCGCAGGGCCCTTGCAGCCCAGCTTCAGGGGCCGTGGCAGCCATCTGACAGGTGCTTGTTCTGGGCCTTGACTTCCACTCCAGGCTTTGGCCTCAGCCCAGGCCCCAAAGCTCAGCTACTCAAGTGACAACTGGGCCCCTTCTCCTGGGAGAGCCTCAGAGGTCTGGGATGTCCTGTTCTTGGGCCAGACCCCAGACTCATGTCTCTCAGAACCCCTGCTCCAGAGGCCCAAAGACCCTGTCCTACTGGTACATTCCATTTCAGTCTGGCTCTAGATGAGATGTCAGAAGACCTCCCCGGACGCTGTAGTGAACTTAAGACAGACTAAGGAAGGGGGTTTGTTCCTTGATATTTGAGAGTGGAGAAAAGTCAGAGCAGGCTCACCTAAAGAGAAGGGGGCTGATGAAGACGAAGGGGTTACGACATGGCTGCTGGGAGCAGGTCCCAGGCAAGGCGAGGAGAGTGGCACTGTAGAAACGTCTTTTTTAAATTGCGCGGTTGTCTCAGGACAGACAAAGTAGATTCCTGGGTCTTGAAGAGGGGCAGAGGAACCGAATGACTGAACACTTCTGTGTTTTCATTTACCCTCACTACTGCCTCTGGAGAAAAGTATTAAAATTCCTCTTTTTATGAATCTGAAAACAGCAGCTTGGGGAGGTGAGGTGACTTGCCCAAGGTCACCCAGCTCTGAAACTGCTGAGCGGAGCATCAGCCCTGGCCTCCCTGACTTTCCATGCCAATATCTTTCCTCTCCACCCTTCTGCCTCCCTGTCATGTCCTCTGATTAATTTCATGGCTTTTTTTTTTTTTTTTTTTTTTTTGTGTGTGTGTGTGTATGTGGTTATTGTTGTTGTACAGGGAATTGAACCCAGGGGTGCTTAATCACTGAGCCCCATCCCCAGCTCTATTTTGTATTTTATTTAGAGACAGGGTCTCACTGAGTTGCTTAGGGCCTTGCTAAATTGCTGAGGCTGGCTTTGAACTCACGATCCTCCTGCCTCCACCTYCCCAGCCACKGGGATTACAGGTGGCTTTTCTTTGTTACCTTAAGACTGAATGGCTATGCCTGTTACCTCTTGGGCAAAACTTTTCTAGAGAATTGCCCCAGGGCCTCCTGGCATAATAAGAGAGTTGGGGGTGAGGAYGGAGCAAACCTGAGCTGAAAATACTCTAAGACTGATCAGCCTGTAGATGAGATGGAACATGGATCGATAAACAGCTCTGTTCTCCTGGCATTAAAATATGCTCGTATGGACAAGGATAAAAACACTCCTTTCCATTTTCTTCAATAACTTCTACACATGTGAAGTTCTTCCAGATGGGTTCTTTCTTGTTTGCACATACAAGACACACTCAGGATTTGAGGTCACAAAGACCTGAGTCCAATTTCTACCTCTGCCACCTGCCAATCACAGGACCTGGGGCAAATTCCCCCTCAGAATCTTATACCTTGACTTTTTAACTGTATTAGAGCATTTAGCTCAGTGCCTACTGCTTAAGAAGGGCAGGAAAAATAGCAGTTATTCTCATCACTGTTAGTATTGTCCTTTAGAAGGATGAAAGGTACACATGAATAAAAAAGCTCCATTCTATTGAGATGACACAGCCCTTGCAAAATCACTTCAGGCCAGGCATGGTGGCACATGCCTATAATCCCAGTGATTTAGGAGGCTGAGGCAGGAGGGTTGTAAATTCAAAACTAGCCTCATCAATTAAGTGAAGCCCTAAGCAATTTAGCGAGAACCTGTCTCAAAATAAAAAAATAAAATTAAAAAAAAGGGGGGGGGGCTGGGAATGTGGCTCCGTGGTTAAGTGCCTCTGGGTTCAGTCCCTGGTACAAAAACAAAATAAAAACCACTCCAGATACTGGGAGCCCTGGCCCCTCAGAATCCCTGGACTCTTGCTTTCTTCATGCAGAGCACTAACTACTAGAGATGCAACCAGTTACCTTTTCTGGCCTCGTTCCTGGCCCCTTCTTCTCCACCTCAACCTCTCTCTTCCTACCCCAACCATGGTGACAGGAAATTCATGGGAAATGGGAGAAAGCTGACTGGGGTCAACTGCAGAGTTCTCAGTCAGGGTTGATTGACTTTACAGACAGAGTAATTTGCATGGTGAACGAGCTGGCAGCCCTGATGATGGGTTCCAGACCCTTGTTCCTCCAGCCCTAACTTTGGACTAAGACCAGAGCTGGGGGTCAGAAAGTGTCCAGGCTTAAGGCACGCAGAGCTGGGCTCACACACTTTTCCTGTTTGGGCTGACAGTTTCACATGCCAGTCTGGGGAGGGAACTGTCCAGAAGAAGAGTTAAGAAATTTGGGTGGAGACCCAGGAGTAGTTAGTTTCATTCTGGGCTTGTTTCCTCACTTACTGAGGGAAGATCTTGAGCTTGAACAAGTCCTGCTGTCCTTTCTGGTTTAACATCCTGAGTTGATTTCTTTGCCTATTCAAAGTCTTTTGGTGACATATGCTGATGAGATGTAAATTTAGTTTCATATGTGGATTAGATGTAAATTGGCATGCAAAGGAGCATCATTTTCCTGCTGTTGGAGCAGAAAGGCAGGGAGGAGAGGACCAGAATGAGGGCTTCCCAGAAGGTTCTGGGAGTCAGCCAGGTTTCTCTCAGGACTCTGAAAATGTCTAGGTCTGTTCCCCACTAACAGGTCCTGAGCAGCATCTGAGAGCTGAAGCAAGGAGACCCCAAGGGTGGCCTTTCCTGTCAGTGCAGGGCCCTGCCCCCCGGGGAAGGTACAGGGTACAGTCAACAAGCTCAGGACCCTATGGGAGATGCCGAAGCTGCCAGGGGAAGCAAAAGACCAGAGAAGTTTTGCCCCAGCCTGCCACGGCCTGATTTGGGACTAACAAAAGATGTCTTTTGTGTTCAGCCACCTTCTGCTCATCCCTCCTCTACTGTGTTTAGCCACCTTCTGCTCATAACCTTCAACAGTGCCCCACACCGTGTCTGACAGGTGGCCAGCAAGCGTTTGGGCTCCTAGAAATGCATATTTATTAAGTATCTGTTGCCAGGCGTGATTGCAAACGCCTATAATCCCTGCAGCTTGGGAGGCTGAGGCAGGAGGATCATGAGTTCAAAGCCAGCCTCAGTGGCTTAGTGAGGCCTTAAGCAACTTAGCAAGACCCTGTCTCTATATAAAATGTAAAAAAGGCTGTGGATGGGGCTCAGTGGTTAATTGCCCCTGAATTCAATCCCTGGTACAAAAATAAATAAATAATTAAAACACCACACATATTAAATATCTCCTGTGTGTTGGGCCCTCTTCCAGACCCAGACAAACTCCCTACACTCATAGCACTTACATTTGGGGGAGAGGAATAGATAATATAGTGGTAAATAAACAAATTATATTTATTTATTTATTTGGGGGGTACCCAGATTGAACTCAGGGGCATTCAACCACTGAGCCACATCCCCAGTTCTATTTTGTATTTTATTTAGAGACAGGGTCTCACTGAGTTGCTAAGCACCTTGCTTTTGCTGAGGCTGGTTTTGAACTCTCAATCCCCCTGCCTCAGCCTCCCAAGCTGCTGGGATTACAGGCGTGCACCACCACACCCCATAACAAAATAATATCTGATAGTGCTGAATGCTGTGAAGGACAGGGAAAATGTGATAGTCAATAGAGGGAAAGTGTCACTGAGGTGAAACCAATTAATGAGGATTCTAAGGAGTACAGAAAATGCAGTGGCCCTGAGATAGAACTGATCTAGCTTGTCCAGGAAAAGAACCCCGGTGGCCAGTTCCTGGAGCTAGATTCAAGGGAGTAAGTGAGAAGGGGAGTGGTAGAGGAGAGGATGAAGAAAAAGGCAGGAGCCAGACCTGCTGTCTACAGGTCTTGGTCAGAAGTTTGGATTTTATTCTCAGCATATTAGGAAGCTATTAGAGGAATGAATGAATGAGGTCACTCCATTCTGGGTTACAGTTTTCTTGAGTTCCCAAGCACCAAACCATAGACTGGAGCTCAACAAGGAGCATAGAGCCACCTTAGGAGGATTCAGGTACAGATTCCTTGGTCTTGCTCTTAGAGAATTTCAGTTTAAAGGTCAGGGGGTGGAGAATGAGGTTGGTTGGCTTTTTTTTTTTGTACAAGGGATTGAACCCAGGGGAGTTAACCACTGAACCACATCCCCAGCCCTTGTTTATTTATTTATTTATTTAAGACAGGGTCTCACTAAGTTGCTTGGGGCTTCACTAAATTGCTGAGGCTGACCTCGAACCTGCAATCTTCCTGTGATTGCCTTTTAAATTTAAGGATATCTCCTCCAGCCAGTATGCATTCCTTTTTCTTTTCTACTATTCACCTCCCAACCTCCGAGGGACATTTATCGCTGAAGTCCTCAGGGAGGCAGCAGGGTCATCTCAGCTCCATCCTCAGCTTGATTACTGGAGAAAGGCTATCTTTCTCTGCCCCCATACCCATTCCACATGGCGGTAGACTTTCTTTCCTGACATGCCCCAAGTCCCTCTTCCTATATCATTCTTCCAGAAGCCATCTCAACATCTAAGAGTTGCCACTTTCTCCCAATTCTGCTCCTGTCTTCTCTATATCACCTCCCACTCCATCCCACCCAACCAAAGACCCAATGGAATGTGCTGGACTCAGGCCAGGACTGTCTGTTTTTCAGGCCACAGACAAGCGGAAAGCACTAGAGGAGACCATGGCCTTCACCACCCAGGCACTGGCCAGTGTGGCCTACCAGGTGGGCAACCTGGCTGGGCACACTCTGCGTATGCTGGACCTGCAGGGAGTTGCCCTGCGGCAGGTGGAAGCCCGCGTGAGCACCCTGGGCCAGGTAAGTGTGCGGAACGTTCCGGATCAGCCCCCAGCTCTTCAGCCCCACTCAGACATTTTCTGCGGCAAAAGTTCCTTCCTGCCTTCCTTCATGTCCCAATGCCCAATTTGACTGCAGAAGGTTGGCACTTTCTAAGCTTTGGGAGGCTCCTTATCTCTAGCTAGGTCACAGTGGTGGGCTTTGCTGAGTTCCCTGAAGGCAAAGCATTTTCTTTCTCTGGATGCTACCCTTGACATCAGAAAACAATGCCTGCCAATCACAGTACAGGCAAGACACAAATGGACATGGTTTGTATCTAAATACAGGCAGTAACTTAATAAATGTCCTAGACTCAAGCGCTTGCTTGGCAAAGGTCATCTTTAGCCCTGGAGGCACTGCCACCAGTGTCAAGTCCCGTGCCTTTCCAGCATGTACACCCTCCTCCTTTCTCCCCGGGACCTTGAGCAAGGGCACTGTCCCAAACAGCTTGTGCACAAATCCAGTCATACCTTGGACCTGGCCTTGCATCCCTCTCATGGTCAGTGCAAGGGGTATGTCTTTTCCTCTCAGCCTGGCAGACCACAGTTCCCACCCTCTCAGAGATGTAGGCTTCTCTATGGAAGATTCTAAGGGGAAGTTAATTCACTTATTTGTCCCCAAAGAGGAGAGCCTATCCAGCCACGATTCTCTGCCAATTCCACATTATCTCCCTGTGCTCCGAGGCCAGCCCTGTCCTTCAGTCCCTTCCCAGCATCCCCAGGGATGTTGTGTTTCTCTCTTCCTCCCTTCCTGCTCAGCTAATAATAACCCTCATTCTCTTCCACCAGGAAGTTGCTCCAAAGTGACTCCATCCTCCCGTGCTACTCTTTTCCCAATTACTGTGTGTCCTTGGGCACAAAACTCACTCTTCCTCCGGGCCTCAGTGCCTCTCGGGATTCCCTACTCCCACCCCAATGTCTCTAGCCTCTTCCTCCCTTAAAGTGAAGGATGCTGGACACAGACTGCCCCCCCCCCCGCCAGTCACCTCAAACCCTGTCATGCAGATGGTGAACATGCATATGGAGAAGGTGGCCCGAAGGGAGATCGGCACCTTAGCCACTGTCCAGAGGCTGTCCCCTGGCCAGAAAGTCATCGCTCCTGAGAGCCTACCCCCCCTCACGCCCTACTGCAGGAGACCTCTCAACTTTGGCTGCCTGGATGACATTGGCCATGGAATCAAGGTAGAAAAGGAGCCCCCCTTCCCACAACCTGCCCTGTCCTGACTCAAGGCTCCTTTCTCTCTAGGACCCCAGTTCTTGGTTTACCCTGCAATCGCTCTTTCCCCACTCCCTGCAGCCACACCCTGAGTCCTCTCCTCTTCCCCAAATCTTGTAATTCTCCCTTGACCCTCTCCTCCCTAACTGACCTTTACCCTGTACTCAAATGATCTGCTGAGAGATCCTGATCACCTCCCTCCACGCTTGGTGCTGGGTGTGTGTGTGTGTGTGTGTGAAGGGGAAGAGGGGGAAGGGAGAGTGTCAGAGTGTGCATGAGAACAGCTCCCCAACCACATGAGAACAGCGACTTCCTCTGTCTGGGGGTTTGAGGTTACTGAACTGAGCAGTCACCCCAGAACTGCTGCTGGTGGGAAGGAGCAGGATGCAGCCACATAGCGGGAACATGGTGAAGAGAGGGGTGCTTTCCTTTCAGCTTATCTCTTTCTGAAAGGTAGGAGAACACACACACACACACACACACACACACACACACACACCTTTTGTCAATTCCTGTCTCCACACTTCATCACTCCAGACTAGATTACAAGCTCTTCTGTGTCTAAATGACCCCCACAACATTCCTAATATATAGCTCTCCCAAAAGGGGAATCCGTCACCAGTTCTCTGCACCAATAAGTTCTTTCTGTTGTCTAAATTTCTCTCGCCCCACCCCACTCTTTTTTGGTGGTGCCAGGGATCAAACCCAGGGCCTTCTTGCACATACTAAACATGTGCTTTAACACTGAGTTACAGCCCAGCCCCTCCACTTATTCTTTATTCTTCAATTCAAGTTCCCTTTGTCTTATTCCTAGTGAAGAACAGCAAACAGAGAACCTAGTTCCTCATGTACTCACCCTTGACAAAATTCCAATTACAAAAGTGCCCTCTGGTAATGGTTCACACCCTGACATTTGCACACTACCTTCTAAGTGTCCCGGGTCCTGCTCCTCTGTCTTGAACTCTGAGAAGTCACTTCCATAGTTCTATGAAAATGACAAGTGAGACCCTTCTGAGAATGCCCTGTCCACTTCTCAGCTCATGTTGGGGTTGAGATCTAATCAAAGTTAAGAACCACCTAGGCACCCCAGCTCCCTCGGTTCTGGGATGGTTTGGGGGAAGGGTGAAGCTGAGGGGCCAACTCAGTCACTGTGGCTATGCAGAGGAAGTGGCCCTCCGACRTCTATGCTCTGCCTTTCAGTCAGAAACTCCCACTCGGTCGGTCAGTGGGGCCTGTGGCAGACTTGAAGCCCTGGGGACCGGGCAATGACAGGAGGCAAGTGGAGATGTGGGTAGGGCAGGAGAGGAGCTGGGAAGTGGAAGAGGGAACTTGCAGAGGCCCCGCTCTCCCTCCTACTTCTCGTCCGCCCCTCCACCCCCCTCCTCCGCGAGGAGGACGGGGATTGCCGCCCCACACCCCAGATGCCAGCCCTACCCTCCTTCCTGGCAGGACCTGAGCACGCAGCTGTCACGGACTGGGACCCTGTCTCGAAAGAGCATCAAGGCTCCTGCAACACCTGCCTCCACCACGCTGGGGTGAGGCTCCTACCGCTTCCTAACCAGCCCGGGGCTGCAGCGCGCGGTCCCGAAACCACTCCCCCGCCTCCGCCGGCACCTGGCGCCCCGCTGCTCTCGGTGCTGTGCTTGACGCCCGACGTCCAATCACCCCTCCGCCAGTCGCCCCCTCCTCCTAGAACCGAGCCCTGCCGGCCAAGAACCCCCTTATGCTACCCCCTCCCCAGGAGACCACCCCGGATCCCGGAGCCCGTGCAGCTCCCAGTGGTGCCTGACGGCAAACTCTCGGCCGCCTCCTCCGCCTCTTCCCTGACATCCGCCGGGTGAGCCCCACAATCGACCCGAGAGGGTGGTGGGTGGGCTGTGGATATAAGGTCCCCGGCCCGTCATCACGGTGACCATGAGGTTGGGGGGATCACAGAGGCAAAGTTAGGAGGCGGGGTTTCGGATGGGAGGAGCGGAGCCTATTGGGGTCCGTCTTACAGAAAGTGTCCCAACCCGGCTTTCTCTGGGCTTCAGCAGCGCCGAAGGTGTCGGTGGGGTCCCTCAGTCCAAGGGACAGGCTCCCCCAACTCCACCTCCTCCACCCGCCGCCGAGATGTTTCTGCCGCCCCCTCCACTCGAGGAGCTGACCCCGCCCCCACCAGGTAAGGAGCCCCGCCCTTCCCGGTGTCGCTGTCCCGAGGTCTCTGTCACACCTCGGCACCCGGTAGCTCTTGGCTCTAACCCTACCAGCCTCTGTGAGCGCTGCGTGGCTGTTACACCGACCCGAGCGAAAGGCGGCAGAGCGAGTGAACTAAGAACTGGCACCTACTTAACACCAGGCCCCAGGTTCAAAGTTTCTCTCCCATCTTCTCATTTCAACTTAACCCGAGAGAATCTTCACACTCTTATTGAACAGGCGAAAAAGCTGTGACTCCGATGTACGGAGATCTTAGTGCCACCCAGTTAAATGGCAAAGTCTTACTACTCTAAACTACTCCATCTTTCAGCGTGTTCTGAGCACCGTCTACATGCTATAGAAATTATGGGAGGATGGGTGCGCCCTGGAGGGAGACAGCAGGAAATGGATAGATCTTGGGCCTCCTCTGGAGCAGCGGCTTCCGGAGGCAGCCCTTGCTTTCCCTCCCTGCCTCAGAGCTGCCCCTGACCCTGGACCTGCCCCCTCCTCCGCCCCTGGAGGTAGAAGACCTGGGGCTGCCACCTCCACCCCCGCCAGGCTTTGGACCGGATGAACCCAGCTGGGTCCCTGAGGCATACTTGGAAAAAGGTACCCGAGTCCTAGAACGGAGGGGCACCAGATCCTGCCGCCCTCTTTTGCCCTGACCCACATTCTCCCACCCCAAAGGCATTCTCCCCTCCCTCTGCAAAGGTGTGAATTTGTTATCCGCCCCCCCCATGTGATTGGATAGGAAGCAGCTGGTCTAGCATTGAATATTAACTAAGCTGGGGAGGGGGCTTGAAAGCTCGGAAGGCACTCCTACTCCCCGCAGCCTTCTCCTCCAGTTGCTCCCCTAGAGTCCAATGTTTGGCCCCTCCATCTCTATGCAAGAGCGGGCAGGAGACACAACTCATGCACTCTTTCCTCCTGCCCTGCAGTGGTGACACTGTACCCATACACCCGCCAGAAGGACAACGAGCTCTCCTTCTCTGAGGGCACGGTCATCTGCGTCACCCGCCGCTACTCCGATGGCTGGTGCGAGGGCGTCTGCTCAGAGGGGACTGGATTCTTCCCAGGCAATTATGTGGAGCCCAGCAGCTGACAGCTCAGGGATCTCCCTGTACCCACCCAAGCTCTGCAGGGAGCAGGTGTCTTGAGCCCCAGAACAAAGCCTGCTCCAGTCAAGGCTGGACTAGGCCTGGCCACCTTAGTCTGTGAGCTGTGTTGTTTCTTTCCCCTTATTGTCGCGGGGAAGAGGTCCTAGGGACAGAGAGAAGATACCCAGAGACTTACTGCAAGTGAAAAAGAACTCGAAGTCAAAGAATTTGGTGATGTTGTCCACAGAGGACTCCCTAATCCATGCAGAGTGGGGTCTCCAGCTGCAAGTACCAACTTTGAATAAAACTGATTACCTGATGACTGCCCTGCAGGGCTAGAGGACCAGAGGGGAGGGATTGAAAGGCACTCATTCTGCTGTAGCCCTGCAGAATGTCCCAGTAGCAGTGCCTTTCCACCTCCTCAGTCCTCATTAGTGTTCCTTCCACCAGACCACCAAGTCTTCGGCAGTGAGTGTCTGGGTCTTTAGACCCTTGAGCGTACCTCCCTCCGTGTGTGTGTGTGTGTGTGTGTGTGTGTGTGTGCGCGGGCGCTCAGCCTTGATTCCTCAGTTTGAATAGGGGGGACAACCTCCCTCACTTAAGAGAGGCTGAGAGCAAACAACATCTCATTTTCAACCCTCAGACGGCGACGCAGTAGAGATCTTAGTCACTTTGTCCCCCTTCACCTCCTTTATAGTTCTCAAACACCAGAGGGAGAAGGGGCTTGGGTTTCCCTGGCTCTGCTTAAAAACATCATGGCTTCCTGTTCCATATGGAAGGAGGGGGACGTGGAGGATGACTTTGGTGAAGTCCCTGGGCTCTTGATGCATAGACGAGGCTGGGGTGCAAGGAGACACCTTCGCACGCAGTGAAGTCCCTGGCTGGCGTTAACCTGAGGTGGACGGTGTGCTACCTCACTCCACCACTAGGAGGCGACTATCCTGCTGGCTTTTTTTTTTTTTCCTTTTTTCTTTTTTACCGTGTAGAGGTGCTGACGGGGTAGGAGGGGGGCGGCAAGGTGTTGCAAGCACAGAAATAGTGATATTTCCGGGGCTGAAGCAAGATCCAGGAGGCCTGGAGCTGTCAGCAGAGAGGATCATCTGTCTTCACGGAGAGTCCGGTGCCCTGAGGAGTTTGGAATCCTGGGTCCCCCCTTGAGGAAAGACTGGGGGAAGGGGAGGTTACGCAGCCCGAGGCAGCAGTTAAAGAAGAAGGAGGTGTTCCTTTTCTTATCTGTCAAGAAGCCCCCACCTCCCAGTTCAGAGCACAGGGTTTTGGAAAYACTGCTGTCTTTCAAAAGGTATGCACGCCACTCCCCCAAGGACCAGACTCCAGAATTAAACGGTTTGCTGCAAGGGACAGCAGCCGATCTGGGTTAACTGCATAGTTAGGGACCGTTCCGAACTCCTCTACAGGCCCCCAAATGAACGAAATTCCAGAAATTTCCGGAGGGACATAGCAAAGCGAAAGGGGAAAGGGAGTAGTAAAACTAGGTTTGTCTTTCCCAGTTTCCCCTCCCCGCCCTTCCTCCCTGCTCTTGCCCCGGGCACCCCCTCCTCTAGGCGGCAGTGCTCAGCACGTCTTCAGCACCTGTTGCAGATGGAGGCGCACTTCGGTGGCCGTTTCCCAGGGCACCACGCTGGCACGGAAGGAGCTGGGTTCGGCCTTCTGTGCCTCCTGAATGAGGCGGTGCATGGGGTAGCCGCGGCGCGGGAAGGCCACATCACCGCCCGCCAGCAGCCCCATGGGGCAGAAATCATTCGCACCGTCGCCCACGTAGAAGAGGCGCTCGAAGTGCACACCATCGTGGGCCCGCTCGCGCAGGTAGTCGCTGAGCACCTTGTGCTTGCACATGTTGGCTGGGCAGCGCGTGCAGCTATGCGTGTGGAAGGGCCGCAGCGCCAGCAGTCCCTGAGCGTCAGGCCCAGATGGGTTGCTGAGGATGCGGCGGAACAGGCCGTGGTGGCCGGCGGCGCGCAGGGCGCTCTCCACACCAAAGGTGTTGGCATCCGAGATGAGAATAACCTCGAAGCAGGAGCCCTGCTTGGCCACAAACTGCAGCAAGTCTCCCATACCCGGAGACAGGGGGATGGCCTCGTAGATAGCGCTTAGGTCCCGAGGCCGCACGCCCTGCTCACCCAGGTACTTGAAGACGCGCTGCATGTATTCGTTGTAGAACCCCTCGCGGTAGGTGGCTCGCAGGCTCTCGGGCAGCCGCTGGCCTGGCGCAGCACGCACGATGGAGTCGTCGCTGTTTTCATCCACAATGGTCTCGTCGAAGTCGAAGGTCAAGAGAAAGCGCGGTGTGCCTTGAGCAGCCATCCCGCTGTCCTGGGAGCAGGAGGGAGGGGAGCAGGAGGAGGAAGAAGGGACAAGCGAGAGGGGGCGCGGCGGGAGCCGGCCAGGGAGAGGCTGGTTAGCGGGCCACGGCCAAAGGCGCTGGCACGTCCAAGACCTGAGGAGGACCCAAGGCTGGTTAAGCTCTGAGGAGTACACAAAGCTGACCCCCACCCAGCCTTCCCCGCCCACCCTCTTGSGCCTTAGTTAGCCATACTAGGATTCACACCCAGGGGACCATCCTAGCCCTGAAGGGTTTCTTTGGTTCCTGTTTCTGCTAATCTCACCCAGGGTCACTGAATGAGTTTGCAAGGGTCAATTTAGAAAAGTAGCTTCCTAGGGATTGTCCCTTTGGGAGGTTCCTGGACAAGAATGATTTAGAGACTTCCAGTGGCCCTTGTGGTTGGTATGGAAAAAAAGGGGGTGAAAGGAATAGATCCTCCTTTCTCAACACAAGCAGAGTTGGGGGACAGGGAGACTACCCATGCACCCCGCTGGAGTAACTTCCTTATTTTCCTTTTGGTCCTTGTAGGATCAATGGCTTATGGGACTCTGATGGACAATAAGGAGCCAGGCTCCAGGGAAGGTTCTTTGGGCACCCTCCTAGGCAGGTAGATATTGAGTGCCAGGCCTCAGGGTTAGGTGCCTGGGCCTCTGCACTGACCAGAGAACTGGATTGGGCCCTTGGAATTACCAAGTAGGTAGACTGACCACATAAGACCCAGGGGGGTTCTCTGGGAGCTGCTTCCAGACAGATGGCTCTGGATAGGGGTCCAGGGATGAGACAGAGCTTCTCCAGGGATTTTAGAGCCCTGTGCTGACAGCTGATCACTAATCACTTGCCAATTCCCTGGGAGGAACGTGTCAGCAGGTGGGGTTTCTGCCAGAGTCCGAAGCAAGCGGGCAGCAGGAGAAGCAGTGGGGCTTGGGAAGGTAGAAGCCTCCCTCGCCAGGCCACGGCATACCTGGGAGACAGGTAAGGGAGAGGAAAGAGAGCAGCAGTGGCTGAAAAGGCAGAGGAGGAGGGGGCAGGCAGTGGGCACGTGAGGGGAGGACTAGGAGGAAGTCATGCTAGTGGAATGTGGAGACAGACTGCTGAACAGGAAGACAGAGAGGGGTGTCCAGGAAGTGAGACCTTGGGCCAGTCATGTTAAGGAGGGATGGTGGTGGTGGTGATGGGTGTGTGGACAGCATGGGAAAGGATGGGGGCAAAGGGGAAATGTCAGGGCACAAAGAAAGGCAAGCAAATGAAGACAGCGAGAGCCCTCGGCAGCATGTCGCTGCCACCTTGTTTGCCAGCAGCAGCTAAGTGTGAGGGACAGCATGAATGGATCCTGTACAGCTGCAGAATACCCACCACATTGCCTTCCCCCACCCCACCTCCCACCCCAATTCAGCTTGATGGAGTCTGATTTCTTCCTTCCCCTCTCTCTAATCTGCCTGGTATGTTGATGGCCTGGCAGACCTTGTAGAACAAAAGCCTCAACTCCTCATTTTAAAGATTTGAACCTGGTTACTCGCCTCCCTGACTGAATGGTCCCTTTGACCTCATCCTTAGAGTCATCCTCTGCTCTCACCAACATCCATCTGGGAGTCTCAGCCCAGGATCCCTGGAGCTGAGGATGTAAGGTATCCCCACACCTGGGATAGAAGCTTTCAGGGATTAGTGGAGCCCAGATGGAGGTGAGGGCAAGCCTGAAAGGGGCTGGATAGGGCTCCTCCCACTCCACAGTGGGAAAATGTGGGCTGAAGCCCCATCCCAGAGGGATCCACTTACCCTAGTCAGGCATCGGAGGCCAGCAACTGGAAGACACCCACTCATCGTCACTGTATCACCCTGAGCACCGCCTCTAGGGACTCTGTTGGCCTCCAGCTGTTCTGCAGAGCTCCTGACAATCAAAAAGTCCATTTACTGGGCCCAGTCAGCTGGCTTTGCTTCCACCACTTGGCCCTGTTCTCTTGCTGAGCCCCAGTAGCCACTCCCAGGTTCTCAGCAAAAGCAAGCCCTTAAATGGGCACAGCATTTACAGATGTACCTTGGTAGCAATCCTCTTACAGTCCCCTAGCATGCCAGAGAGGTCACAGATGGCGTTATATTAGAGACCAACACAACTGATTTGCCACTGTGAGTGGCAGTGGCATCTCAAAACCATATTTCAGAGTCCAGAGTCCAGTTCTCCAGTGTGATCACTGCCCTCTACACATGTAAGGTCATACATCATAGTTTACAAACCACTTTTACTCATTCTCTCACTATTCAGACTGGTGAGATCAGCAGATAAAGGTTCAGAGGTTGACTTACTTGCCCAAGGCCATGCTGTTTACATGGGGTAGAGTTTGGTTCATGAACCCTTGGCCATAGCTTTGTCTTCCCTGTACCCTCAAAAGGTAAGGGGCCTCCAGACACTATGGCACATGCCTGTAATCCCAGCAACTTGGGAGGCTGAGGCAAGAGGATCACAAATTCAAGACAAGCCTGGGAAATTTAGCAAGACCCTGTCTCAAAAATAAATAAGGACTGGGGATTTAGTTCAATAGAAGAGTACTTGCCCAGCATATGCCAAAACCTGGGTTCAATCTCAGTACCACACACACACACAAAAGTAGATTATAAAAATAGAAAAGGATGGGGAAATAGCTCAGCGTAAAGCGCCCCTGGATTCAATCCCCAGTACCACACCAAAATAATACAATAATGTGGAAGGTCCAGTGATCAGCATTTATTGTATCAAAACTGGGGGCACTGAGACCCCTGGGTTCTACAAGTGACCTGCGAATGGCCTCTCTAGTGCTCTCAGGTCTGGGATCCAGCAGATAGGTCAGGAGTCAGGTTGAAATCTCTGCTGGATTTTACTGCATGCCTTTGGGGACCAGCTTTGGCCTCTTTGAGGCCTACACCGATGCAGCTACAAAGAACACCACATAGAGCTGCCAGCTCCTCTCTGCTCCGGTAACCCCTTCCATCCAAGGGTTGAGTGAGAGACCAAAGAGAGGCAAGTGGGACAACTGGAAAGCTACTAAGAGCCAAAAGACTAGACCTGGAGCAAAGATCTGACTGCTTGCTGCCCTCTGCTGGTGACAATGGATGACACTGTAAATGTCTCTGACTTTGTCAAGGTGACACTCTCCCCTGACCATCCCAGGGGAGCAGGGAGAAGCTGCTGGCCTCTACAGAGACTGGGTCATACCAGGGACAGAACATAGGCTCTATGACTTTCCATCTCATAGCATGCCCTGCCCACCCATCCCCTGACCACGCGTGCATCACCATTTCAGTGAGGAGAGGATATGGGTTTAAACTTTCCCCCAACAACTTTTAATTGGGAATAGGGAGAGGGCTCAAAGCTGAATGGTGCAGTTGGCAAAGAGTGTGATAGGTTGAGAAAGGAGACACAGGTTAAGAAGAAAGTGAGAGGGAGTAAGACATGGGGGGCAAGGGAATGGCAGGCTGGTGGGAGTGTCCCCAGTCAGAATCCTGGGTCTAGATGAGTCAAGGAGAAAGGTCAGAGGATGCCACTCCCATTGCAAAAGCAAACATGGATAGGCACGTGTCAGGCACGCAGAGAGAGTGACAGAGACCAACTTCCATCCCACAGAAAAGGGTCTCATCACTTTGTCCTTGTATCCTTTCTTTTTTGGAATATTCTTCTTATTCCTTTTTTAAACCAGGGATTGAACCCAAGGGGGCTCTACCACTGAGCTACATCCTTTACCCTTTTTTCTTTTGAGACGGGGTCTGGTTCAGTTGCCCAGGCTGGCCTTGAACTTGTGATCCTCCAGGCAGCCTTTTGAGTTTGCTGGGATTACAAATATGCACCACCAYGCCTGGCTTGGTATATCCTTCTGATCTTTAATTATGTTCAAAACTTCTCATTTCTCATAATAAAAGGCATAGCTACATTTTTTCACTAATAGTATTTAGGTAAATCAGTTAAACACTTGTTTGGTAGATTGCCCTTGATTCTTTTCATCTTCAAAGCAGAAAGCCAAGCATCTTCCCTGGAGACTGAATAGTCCATGCTGTGACACCCCCACCCCACCCAAAGCAATTAGAGGGGGCCTTCCCCAGTTAGAATCTGGCTCCTGTAAATTCCAAAAGCTCACTCACCTCTGGCAGCTTTGTCCTGAGTGATCAAATC